CAAAATTGAGTAATTTTCAGGAAATTATAATATTTTGTCATTATTATTGCTTTAGTAATATAACAACAGACAAAATATCGACAGTACAACAGCGGTTTTGTGTGTCTTTTCAAGGCATCAAGTGTCAAGTATGACTAAGATTATTGAAATTAATCATATTGTTTCAATTCAGGTACAAAATATACAGTCGTGTATATAGATATATATCTAACAAAAAAAAATTTAAGTAACAATAAAATGCATTATGTGTTCATTACTTCGTATTATTGAATTATCACAATTGAAGTACGATCCATTGTAAATCGCATAAACATTCATGATTAAAGCAAAAGCAATTGACACTTAAAGATTGAAATTATATATCTAATACGGAAATATGTACATATTTACGTCAACAATTTTGATAAGCAAGTACCCGTATATTTAATATGCATTGTGTAGAAGATGTAAATGCCCCTCCTACACATTCGTATATCTTATACAGTACAAAAGCCTAATTCAAGCGACAGTCCAGTCATTGGTTACTTGAACTTTGATAAAATCAAGAATTTTCATTTCATTTCTTCAATATACCAGTACTGCGAGATCATCGGCGATGTCACCATCGGTTGAATATAATACAAAGTATACAGAAATAAAACTATTCAAAATATGCGGCTCATTTATTGCTAAATTGAAATTAACATAATTCTTTTAAATGACAAATTGACAATGACATTTCTCACATGTGAGAAATTTTAAATTTAATTCAATCTTTGTGGATGTTTAACATTATATTTCATTGTAAATTCACGATTGCTTTAAGTATGCAATACCAAGGAAACTCTGGTGTCATAAAGAAATCAAATAAACTTACGAGGGTCACTATTTATATTTGGAGCCTAATAATAAAAAAAATACTAACTTTTCGTTAAAAATTGCTTTATGGTTTCTCAAAGTATTCTCCTTTATGATTAATACACAAACCATTTGCCAAAGCATTTTTTCCAATCCTCCTCAGACACCTCCAAAACATGCTTTTTAAATGCAACAACGACTTCTTCCACCGACGAAAATCATTATTCACGCAATTTACGAGTATTCTTGAGATTCGGGAACAAGAAGAAGTCATTGGTTGCCAAATCAGTATCCAAACTGTACGGCGGATGACTCATAATTTCGATTTTTTGAATGTTCAAATAATCGGTTGTTAAACGATATGTGTAAGCACTTGCATTGTTTTGTTGGAGATGGAAAATGAGCAGACGGTGCTTGTTTGTTTTCCATATTCCGTTTGTTTCACTGAAGACAAATCGTTGTATATCATTTGGAATTAACCGTTTTACATTCCTGTAATGATACAGTTGTTATGTGATCAGTTTTCCCGAAAAAACAAGCGATCATTTATTTCCAAGCGCTTCGAGCGCAAACATTTGTTGGATTTGGTTCATCTTGAAACACTCATACAGTCGATTGCTGTTTACGATCATGAATATATCCGGCTTATACGCATATATTCATAATTGGTCACCTGTTACAATCGTATATACGTCTTTTGATGCACTGCCATTGTTCTTCTTGAACATTTGTGTGGACCAATCGACACGAACATGTTATTGAGATTTTGTCAAATTATGGGAACAAACCTTTCTCACGGCTAAATGATCGTGCAATATTTTAAATACGAGTAAGCTGGTGGTATTAATGCCTTATCAGTTTTTGCACAGCATCAATGTTTCCTGATTGTACCATTTGGAACTCATAATAAATCATCGCACGAAAATTTTCTCGAGTTAATCGCAATTTTTCGAGAACACTCAATTTACAAATCACTGTAAAAAACACATTTAACGCTGTTTTGACAAAAAATCTAAGGTAGGTTATGTTTAATAATGTCAAACATTCGTATAGAAACGTCAGATGACATCTGACAACAATCAGTGTTGCCAGGACTAAAAATATAAATAGTGTCCCTCGTATAAAAAAGGTTCAATTCTTTAAGTTAAAATCTCAAATCTTAATTATTTTGCATTAAGAGCCTCTCTATTTAATATATGTGTCCTTATATGTCCTATTTACCTATTTAGGTAAATAGGTTTGGATATTGATTTTTTTTAAAGAATATTTTTTTGGAAAAATTGTCATAACTCTTAAAGAAAAACAATTTTTCTCAAAATTTTTGTAAATTAGCATAATACCGGAAACTCAATTATATACGATCATATCTATCATGCACCATTTTTCTCTCATTGCCATTTGAAGTAGGTAACCTTCTACTTGACTTAAGAAATCTCAGACATTTTTTAATTATTACTTATATACTTTAATATATTGATTTTGTTGCTATAAATATATAAATAAAAGTTAATTAAATAATTAAAATATTTCATACATGAAATACCCAAAATAACTAAATAAAATATATTTGTTAATAATAATGCATTATTACTTCATGAAATTGTTAAAAAATTTAAGGACATATTTTTGTAAAAATTGATTATTAATTTGGAAACACTGTTTCACAGAAAATATTCACAATTGACAGCGGAGATATTTATTAAACCAATTGAAATAAACATTGGTGTCCATGGTTCGTGAGAATACTGGAATCACTAACTCATAATTTTTCAAAGTAACCTTTTCTTAAAAACTCTAAAATCAATGAACAAACAATTTGCAACAGCTTCAGATTATTGTAGAACGTTCGATAAGCATATAATTTTACGTAATGATCCTGTAATTATCCAGCACGGTTGAGTAATCTCACTTTGGATTATTTTTTAGGGATATTTGAGATCACTTAGAAATTAACATTCGCAGATTTATACTAGCTCAGCTCGTAGAAAATTCGATTAAAATGGCTTATAAAATAAAATAAATGGCTTAGAATTATATTTTATATTAAGACATTTTTAGAATATTACCATGTTTTCGATGGGTTTTATTTCACTTCTAAAATCAAAACTCTAAAATAACACTCTTTATATGAAATTGTATAAATATGATTCTAATTTTCAAAAGATTTCGTAATAGTTGGGATAAGGTTCTAGAGAGAAAAATTGGGAAAATTACCCGAACAAGTGGAAATAAGTGTAAATAATATAAATAATTTCTTTTATGGAATGCTATGCCATAATTCTGATTTTTTCCTAAACCACTAGATAGATTTACATTATATATATTATACGTAGTTTCTATAATAAAATTACCAATTATTAGCTATACAATTTCTATTTCAAGTCAATATTTATGGATGCCACCATATCACCATTGAATTTTGTGCTAAAGAGTTTTTCGATTTTTTTTACTATGCAATCTTTATACAAAGATTAACGTAACGTAAGCTTTAACATTTGTATTAAGTTTTAATATTTAGGATTGGCATCATAAAAAAGACTTGTTAGATTTGTTAATTTTCTCCTAAAGTGATGTACATGATTATTATGATATGTAATTTCTAACAACTTTATTCAACGTGAATATTTAGAATTAAAAGAATTTTTTTTACAAGCAAATTTGCCGTAAGTGTTGGATATGATTCCTTAATCGTAGATCGTAAAATATTGCAAACTGCTTTTTGAATCTATCTTCCTCTTTCTCTCTCTCCCTCTTTCTCTCTCTTTCTCTCTCTCCCTCTTTCTCTCTCTCCCTCTTTCTCTCTCTTTCCCTCTCTCTCTCCCCCTCTTTCTCTCTCTCCCTCTTTCTCTCTCCCCCATTTTCGCCCTTTCTCTCTCTATCACCAGATATTATATTATCATAACATCAATTTAAGCTATTGCCTTCTTTTAGATGTTGTTGGTATATTATTGAAACATTATACCTTATTTTATCTGGTATATCTTGTTTTTATTAAAACATATAATGGATTTATTGATCAGAAATTTTATTAATAGCAACAGGGACGTGGTATCACAAGAATGAAAAAGGTTTGTATTAAGACCTCAAAAGCTATGAGTGACGCTTTGCTGACACCTTATACCTCTCCTACCACCATTTATTTTTATTTTAATTTCGGCTTTTTTTTTTTTTGTCTAAATAAATGATCAATGATTATTTGTAAGAATATATTTGTATGGATATTGTTAATAATCGTATGAGACACATATGGTATAAATAAGTTTAGAGTGTGTTATGTGTCGAAGTTGACTGTAAGTAGGGTGCCGAAAAAGCAACCTGTTACTCACTCGATAAAATAATTCATATTCATTCAGTCGTCACTAAGAATCATGCTATTTGCGTTAATATGCAATTGTAAATATAAAATTATATAAAAAATGTGGATACTGTTTTTGTTTTGTTGTGGCTGCTTTTGTGAAAATACAAAATAGTTTGTCAGCAACATAGGTATCACGTGCAGGAGGGAAGGAAGTTGACTTACTTCTGCCTCAAATGCTGAATATTCGTACAATTATTTATTTATTCAATTATTTTTGATTAAGAACCAAAAAAAAATTGTAAATATTTGGATTAGCATAAATATTTAACAAATAAAAGTTTATAGATAATCAACTTCATGATTTAATCAATTTTAATAATTTTGTTCTCAGTGAAGTGAAATTCACTGTGTCTCAACTAAATTTACTGCTAATGCAATTTAATAAAATCTAAAATATTCAATGAAATAATTTTGCATTTTATAGTGAAACGCAAATAAATTTAAGTGCCAACATGCATTATATAAAGTCAATGAATCTTGTTTGATAAGCTTTTAATTATAATATAATAAATATATACAACAAGTATATATGAAGGAATGCGTATGTATATTTTAATTTGATTTAAGTATCTCTTATCTGTGTTATATGAAAACTGTGTTAACTGTAAGAGTTAGAGGTGATTCACCTTTGGAATTTGTACTTCTCAGTGCCAAGATGAATTGTATTTTATGCACTCAATTTAAAACAATAATAAATAAGCTCTGACAATAAATATTTTATATATATTAAACAAATAAAAATATGTATATAACTAAAATTAAATGCAATATTAAAGCACTTCTGTTTTTCTTCATTTCATTACAGGTCCAATATTTAATATATTATTCATATAAATTAGTTAAATATTCACGATGAGGTTCTAGTGAAGTAAACCATTTCATATTCATTAAATCACTATAATAATGTATAGAATACTTAGTATGATGCACTGAAAATGGATAGCTTCTATGTCGGGAGTAATCAGCTGTCTAAAGATCAACAACTACTACAAAAACAACATCAGTCGATAGGAAATACTTTACGCACGAGTAGATCGCCATCGACCACACGCAGTTCCGAACAAAGTAATTACAATATTTTTATTTATAATTTATTATATTTCATATATTATAGGATAGCTTTAGCTCTTCATTTAACATAAATACTACAATAATATGCGAATAAATTTCAATTTTATACAAAACAAATTAATTCAAAAAAAAAGCAGAAAAATACATATCAATTTATTTAACAATAATATTATTATTTATTTGTGTCAGCCTTGAGTCGTCTTCAAAATCAATTTGCTTTAAAAGGCAGCATACACAATAAAATCCATAGTACAACAAAATTTAAAATAGTTCTACAACTATACAAAAATACTTATTGTAATTTTATTATTCTGTTTATTCAGTTTCTGTTTAAACTGAATTAATATATCAATATTTGCAATTTGCAATATTCTGTCTGCAATTTCATGTCTCTTTCTAAAGATCCCTTTCTGCAATTTTATGTTCTCCCTACTGAAAATCTGGGTCCTATCAAATTACCGTAAAACATGGGGAACATTTATATATGGTTAGTATATTTATCACTCTTCTTTATATTATCTGACTTATGATTTAAAGTTCGCATTAAATATCAGATTTAATCATTAACTACATATGACTAGTTTAGTGTATCAACAGAAGAGTTCTGGTGGCTTTGTTTATCCTTATATTTTTGATGTTAATCAAAGAGCACACTCTCTAGTAATTGGGTACGACAGCTTGAGTGGGACTTCTTTTATGCCTACTGTTAAAGTAATTGGTGAGGAAGGGAAAACTAAATTGTTGCTCAACTAAATCTGCTTTGTTATTGTGTAACACTCACCATAAGATTCTTATACATTGAAACTGCCTGCTTCTTGAAATGTCAATTGAACAAACCCACCAATACGGTTATGAATGACTTAATCCATTTTATCAACTTGACACAATAGGATTTTAGATCAGCACAAAGATATTTTTATTCAAAATTCCTAATAGTCAATAAAGTGGCTTAAAAATTTACAGAACTGCTTGAGATGTGAATCCATCTCGTCTTTCAGAATAGCGGTACTAATACCATCTGGCTATATATCTGTGTTAATGAAAAGTTGATCGATATTATGAATATAATAATCATATTATGCTTTTCTTTATTTCTTTTTATAATTGAGATATTGTATTTTAAATTAAATAATATAATATATCTAGAACATAGAGGACTAAATTCTTTAAATCTAATCTCTTTAACTTTTTAACGGCAAAAACCGTTATACCGTAATCTAATTACGGTGTTATAATGTAAGATATGGCTAAACATAGTTCAATTTCTGTTAACCATTTATTAGTTTATGCTATATTTAAACAATTTATAGTCAATTTTTATTTTATAAATTTTTTTTCTTGTTTCGTTTGCAAAACACAATCACGTGCGCACATACATATTTACACACACGCTTCTGCCTACAAATGCTACGCCTTCATTTGCATGTCCTCTACTGCTTATCGCAAATACATTAATAAAGAAAAGTAACTATAACGAGAACAGGACACCAGTTACATGCTTTAAAAAACTACATCTAAAGCACATTATAACAAATCTTATAAAAACCTTAGTTAAAGGATAATAAAAACCCGTTAATTGACAAGGCTCCTACTTTTTACTTCCTTTTTTAAACTACGGCACATAAAAATTCACAATCATGACGCAAATGAAATATTCCATAGTGTCCAGAGAGCGAGATCAACGTGTTGAAAGTTCGGAACCGGCAATTACTGGTAGTATAGGAGGTGGTAGTGTGAGCAGTGGTGGAATTGTAGGCACATCTGTCGCTACATTTCGTGGCTTCCGAAGTCACAGTCCTTCAAATCGGAGAAGTCGGGAACGAAATCGTAGAGAATTTAACCGCACACATGGTTCGGATCAAGGTGGTTTGTTAGCTTATAGCGGTATGGGTGGTGGATTACTAAGTGATATAAGTGCAATGGACAGTGGTGGTAGTGGTAGTGGTGTGACTATAGAAGATTCACGTTTATCAGGTGTGTTAAAAAAAATATTCAAAACATTTAGATTATTATTTATAATACTAATAATTTGCTAAATGTACTTATAGGCAATGAAGATCTTTGCTATCAATCATTTGCATCAGATGACGTCGATGGTAATCCGCCCAGTTCTTTAGCTGACAACAATAAAAAACATCATCGCCATCATGAACGCACTTCAAGCCTACAAGCAATTGATCGGCTTAACACAAAAATTCAATGTACAAAAGAGTCCATAAGAAAGGAGCAAACTGCCAGGGATGGTAAGTAATATATAATATTTTTAATTTAATATAAACAAGTGTTATATAGGTGTATCAGAGTAGGACATTTAAAGAACTTCAAGTTTCGAGAAATTACTTAGAAACTAGCATTAAAAATAATACCAGTTAGAAGAAATTTTATTATTTAAAACATAGAAAGTATTTTTTATAGTACATTTTATCGTTCGTGTAGATCTCATAAAGAGATGATGTGCTAAATGTCGCCTTCAGACTTCTTAAGAACGACAACTTTGTTGTAGTCCAACTTTGGATTCATAGTAAAAGTAAAATTTTACTGCTATTATAGTTGAAATTAATATTAAGATCCTTAATTGCTAATTTTTACACCAGAACTATCTCGACCAGATAAGATCTCGGGTCAATACACATCACTGAATAGATTGCATGGCCGTAGAAATAAATACATATGTTCATAATTTTACCAGAGAAAAATAAAAATACGGCGATAATGTTAAATTTAATTTTTTTAATTCTTCATTAATTTATCTTTTATAATTCTATTAATATCAACATTATTAAAATTAGTTGTTACCATATGTAAAATATTTTATTTTTAATGTGATGACTAATGGTACTGGATACGAGTTTTTTGAACCAGTTCTACAAAGAAATATGTATTAAAGTCATTGTCAATTAAATAAATTAACGTGAAGTGTAATCAATTATTTAAAACATTTTAATTTATTTATTTGGGATTCCATAAAAAAAAATAATATAATGTTATCAAAATACAACAAAAGAAGATTTGCTTAATTGTGGTAGATTAGAAACGTGGACCGTGCTTTTTACAGCCCTGTTTTACGTCATAAGAATCATATATGAATATATAATATTTGAAAAAAGCATTTTTTAGAAAATAATACTTATGGTTCAGAAAATATCTAATCATTACAATCAATAACAGCGTAACTAAAAGAACTGTTTGATATTATAGATTTAAAGAAAGTGCCTAACAACTTTCCTTACAACTTTTTCTCCAAATATTAACTTATAACTATAATTTAATGTAGACAGTTGGGTTTTTAGTTTGATTTTGGGTTTATTACAGACCACTGTTTAACAGATATACTCGTAACTAGATTATAAAAAAACTTTGTAGAAGGACGCGGAGAAAAATCAAACTCCAATTAAAAACAGCCGAGCACGGTTGACTCGAAAAAATTTAGAAGGTTTGTCATGAAAACCAGATAACTTAGTGGTGGTAATCCCTCTAAAGGTCAATACCACAACTATAGGAGTAACAATATACTTTTTGTTTACAGTAACGCATTTAATTATAATTACAATTATAATAATAGATAGTTGACTTAAAATCTCAGGAGTTATAGGATTATAGGGTTCTATGGGAAATAGGCTTCTTTCATAATCAAAACATATTTTCTTCAATTTCTTACATATAATTAAATTAGTAAGAATCAAAAATATATGTAATATAAAAAAAAAATATTTCAGATAATGTTAATGAATATCTAAAGCTTGCCGCTAGTGCTGATAGACAGCAATTGCAACGAATAAAGGTAATAAGAAAGAAAGCTTCAATTAGTAAGAATAAAATTTATTGTAACTAAAAAAAAATTTTCGTGCATATTTTTAGGCTGTTTTTGAAAAGAAAAATCAAAAGAGCGCACATAATATTTCTCAGCTACAAAAAAAACTAGATAATTATACCAAACGCGCGAAAGATCTACAAAATCATCAGTATCAAAATAAAAGCCAACATCGACAACCGCGTGAAGTACTTCGAGACGTGGGACAAGGATTAAGGTAATCTAAAGAGTTTTGAAGATTATTAATATAGTTTAAAGAAAATGTATCTCAAAAACGGTTTTCTTTTGTTAGAAATGTGGGTGGCAATATACGCGATGGTATTACTGGTTTCTCAGGATCTGTTATGTCTAAGCCACGTGAATTTGCGCATTTAATCAAAAATAAATTTGGCAGTGCGGACAATATCAATCAAATGTCGGGTATGTCATTATCGCTACTAATATTAATGGTAATAAATAATTCATAGATATTCTTTTCATATATTTATGTAGAAACTGAAATTAATAACATCAACATGCCCGTAAATTCTGAGGTAATAGGTACTTCCACGCCAAATAATGCTGTTCCAGCCACATCTACAGGTTCCGGTAATACCGCCGGAAGTGGAAAATTTAATAGTGAAAATGGCAGCGAATGCAGTAGCGTAACAAGTGAGAGTATACCAGCCGGGTAAATAAAATAAATTTAACAGAAATCCTTAATTGTATATAAAACATATATTTGTAATTAACTATTGATAGCTCTGGAAAAAGTCAATCAGGCGCTAGCCAATACCACATTGTTTTAAAATCACTACTCACAGAATTAGCTGAGCGGAAAGATGAGAATGAAAAACTGAAAGAACGTGTAGAACGTTTAGAAGTAAGTTAATTAATTATTATTATCAAATAGTTAAGAACATGTTACGAGAACTATGGCAAAAAGAATTTAAAAGTTAGTTTGGTCAGAAAGACAAAAGTAGCAACAAGAACTTAATAGTTATCTTGATCAGTAAGATAACTATTAATTATCACTTTTCATAAATATATTGGTTTTAATCGATTATCAAAAAATGTTAAAAGCCATATTTTAAGTAAAACAAATATAAGTTTCCTTCTATATTAGGATTTAGTCCAATAATATTAATAATATTAAATTAATAATAGTAATCGTTTTTTAAAGATCACAAATATTACAAAAATTCATACGAATATTTATTTAATCATTTATGTTTTTCATTCATTAATTATATCAAATAATACATATTTTAGACCGCGCAAAAGGATTTTAATAATTTAACCGCCACCCTTGAATCGGTGCGTTACCGTTCAGATGATCTTGTGGACCAGATTAACGACTTGACAGAATTACATCAGGTACGACAATTACACATATGATAAAGTAATATATATTTTAAATAAAACACAAAGTAATTCTTTAAAATTTAAATAACTTTTCCATATTTAATAATTAATAAGTAATTATAATAATAATATTATAATAATTAATATATTTAATAATAATATTAAAAACTTAAGTGTAAAAACTTATTGTTTAAAGTAGCGTTAATTTTTAACTAAATTAAACAAGAATTATTATGTGAATTATTTAAGTGAGAAGCAGATTTGTGTCATATAAATGATCTAACTAAGTTTTTTTGAGTTTTACTTTTTTTTCTAAATACATATACAAACCCGTTTAAAAAGTACTTCGACTAAACCGAACCTAATCAGAAAGTAAGGTCGGGTCTACGTCCCGGAGCCACTCGTCACTTACGACGACCAAGTACCGTTCAACACCTCCAAAAGGGACTCCACAAGCAGGTCCCGCCAGGTTACAAAAAGTACGCACTTAATTCGTTTATAGCGACCCATGAGTTACAACAAACTATATTCACATATAAAAACCTTTTTATTTTCCAGTTTATTCAAATCTACAAATCGACTATAAATAATACTTATCTACTTACTAACTATCTAGCTATCTACTTATAAACTTCGAATAGCCAGTTAAAAATTGAAAAAATAAAGTAATTTCTTTAAAAAAAATAATGTGATTGTTACGATTCCTGTGATGGTTCTAAGTTTTTCTTTTGATAGGTTCATACAATCATGGTATGTCTTATTGTTATAAATACTAATAAGTGATTTGGATTGTGTTAATCCTGGTATATTATCCTAATAATGGTTTTTATTCTGATTCTCCTTTATAAAAAAAAAGAAGCGTAATATGTGCTAGTCCACAAAAAGTTTTCGGCCCCATTATCGGTTGGGCTACAATAATTTATTGCTTTACATATATAAGTTTAACTTAATTACAAGATATATACTTTAATGTTTGAATTAAGCGAATAGTACTATAGTACTAATAATTTGAATCAAATATTTTATTTATATTGAATTTTATAAACTAACTGTTTCTCTAATTGTACAGAATGAAATTGAAAACCTCAAACAAACAATAGCTGATATGGAAGAAAAAGTTCAATATCAAAGTGATGAAAGACTTAGGGACGTAAATGAGGTGCTTGAAAATTGCCAAACAAGGGTAAGTTAGTGTTTTTTTTTAAATACTTTTACAAACTCACCTATTACGTCTATATTTGCCTCTAGATATCTAAAATGGAACATTTATCTCAACAACAATATGTGACAGTAGAAGGAATCGATAATTCTAACGCACGTGCGCTTGTCGTTAAACTTATTAATGTTGTGCTGACAATTCTACAGGTTGTTCTGCTTTTAGTAGCAACTGCTGCCGGTATAATAATGCCATTTTTAAAAACCAGGTAGGGCATTTTCTCTTCATTTGCTATGTTTTTTCATATTGAATATATAAGTAATCAAAGTAAAAATTCTATTCTATTGACAGGGTGCGTGTTTTAACGACATTCTTAACTATTTTTATTATTATTTTTGTGATACGACAATGGCCTGATGTGCAAGATATTGGTGCTGGGCTAGTACGACATTTGAAGGAGTCTTTGGTTGTTAAATAGAATATGTAAAACTTTTTACACAAACACACATCCATCATGCACATATAACATAATTCACATAGCCACACATCCAACAAATAAACATGCTCATTATTAGGCTTTATTCGTTATAAAATAAAAAATATATAATTAAATTAAATTGCTTTAGCTAAAGAAATTAATAGTGCAAAATAAAAACAAAATTATTAAGTGATTTATTTGTAAATAATTTTTGTACAAATATTGCACAGAAAAAATTACCACAATAATGTAATGGAATTAGTAAAATTTTACATTCGAAACTCATCACATTTATTTTTTAATTGTAATTATATTTCATTTGATTATATTAAATAAATTGGTTTATTTTGTAATAAAAACGTTACTGTAAAGTATGTATTTATGTGCTCATTTCTTATAAGTAATATGCATATTTAATAAAAAAATAATTTGTTATAGGCAAAAAGAAATTATTAAATAACAGAAATAATTAAGAATTATGTAATTTGTTACTCATAATAGGGTTTTTTTTATTAATATAATATAATATACGGCTTATATATACAAATTTATATAATATACGTAAATTAGGTTAAAAATAATAAAATGAATATTGCATGAGTAGTCGCCTCATTGATTAATTATTGAATTTAAATAAACTGTAATTTTTACAAAATAAAAGTAAACCTGGAATTTTTTAATGAAATTATTGGCAAATATTTGAGGAACAAAATATCAGTGAAAATAGAAACGTGATATTATTTGGAAAAATCGTGAAATAATTTAAATAAAAATTAATTAATTAATAAATTGAACTTAACTTAATTAAGTAATTATGTTAAAATTGAAAATGTCCTTATTACAGTGAATACTGAATTTTTAATAGATATTTTTGTTTCAATGACAAAAAGATTCTCAGATTTACTAAAGTAATTAGACCAGATAATGAAAAATATCAAAGGTCCAGGTTTTAATTATTATTTTATTTTTATTTTTTTTTTTTGTATATTTTTGAATTTCACCTTTTAATTTTTAAATTTTTTGATTATTAAAATTCTACTAATAGTTCAGATTTTTCTAGAAAATGGTTTTAGTTAAATTAAATCAAATTAAAAAATAAAGGGGAATTAAGGAAATTTACTCAAGTGAATTTTTGGACTGGCTAAATATCAGTCATTGGTTTTAAGACTGATCTATTGGTTTTTAGACTGAAGCTGTCAGGATTTGAACTCTGCCAAATGTTAACTGCGTGATAAAAAAAACATACAACGTACATAGAAAGAACAGCTGCATTGATGAATTTAATAACTGTGTTTTTAATGCAAACACTAAATACTAAAGATTTGCTATGATATAAACAAAACTAACAAAAATATAATAAAATGGCATTTACTAAAACAAAAATATTTATAGTTAAGCATAAATATTGCCGTAGAATGCCTCCGCATGAACATTTCCAGTGATAAAAAAACCGTTCATACATGTAGTCAGCTGAGCTCAACTTAACTCAGTAGCGTTAGATGAAATTTTTAAACAGGTTAGCCGGCTATAACCTCTATTAATAGGTACCTCTGTTATATTACAATTTGTAACATGTTCTAAGAGGTTTATTTACATATAAATGGACAATTCAGTGCATATTGTATTTAATAAAGTAGTCAACTAGTTTAAAATATTTTCAAAGCCATATTTAAATTTTTTCATTAATGTTACCAGACCACTCAATAATAATGCTTCTTATTTTATAAAGATATTAAATTTTACAACAGTTTGGTTTATGAAATCAACAGAATTTTTATAATAATATTATAACTCTTGTTTGATTATAATATAAGTTTTATAAACATATTTTTTTATTTCAATGATGTTCGAAAAGACAAATATATATATATATATTAGAATTATAATTCGGTAGGTATAAACCCAGAAGTGGCATGTTATGAATGCTGAGAAACATTCCTAATATACTTCGAAACAACTCTTTAATTTGGAAATCATTTCGGTTATGTTCCGAAATGAGCAAATTAAATGTTACTAAAAAAGAATAAATTGAGGTGTGACACTCCAATTGAGTTGTTCCAAATGAAGAAGTCGATATTGAACCAGAATGGCTAGCATCAACAACAAAAAAATAAAACAATTTTGATATAGGTTTCGTCCACGCAGGCTATAATGTCAAGAAATTGATATATATCAAAAAAATATTGCTCGAGCCATAATAATAAAAATAATATAATAAAAGCAAAATATATTATTGAAAGTTTTAAATAGAAAGAATCTATTTCTGATTTTTACAATAAAGATAGTAAAGTAATAATAAATTTTTAATAAAGTATAATAACAATGTATTTTAAATTTTATTGTATTTATATACGAATACGTTTCTATAGTTGAAAAAAATATTAAAAACTTAAATTCATTACAAAGTATTAGTCGACAATAATTACAATTAAATCACTGTTAATTAAATGTTAGCAGATTTATTACATTTTTTGTGTTGTTGATTTATTTATTTTATGTTAAAATATTTTTTATACACATAAATTATATGTTGGACTTACACATTTATTTTGTAAGTTAAATATTAAAATCTACAAATAAACATATTATGAACTATAAACACTATATTTTTTCTAAATTGTTCTTTAGTTTTTGGCTTCAGTAGTTATAATATTTGTAAATCATATGTCTACATTTATAGTATTTACACACATATTATTTTCAGAAAGAAACAATCCTAATATTTTACACTAAAATGGAAAAACTCAACTGCGTAGTCTTATAATAGTAAACCGTTAATATATAAATATTATTTTATTTTATAACTATTGTATTTTATGACAAAAATATTTTTCGTATTTCATTAAACTTATAATTATAAATATTAAAAAAAAAATTTTAATATTGGGAATTCATATCTTAAGGTATGACATTTTGCATTTTGAGAGTTACGTAGATTTTTTTTTTATTTTTATAAAAATTATATATATTTTAAAAATTTTAATAAAAAATAATAATATTATTTAAAAAATATATCTATAAATCAATATATAAAATAAGAGAAATCAATCAATAAAAAAAATTAATTTACAACATAGGAATTTCACTTATGCTTTTTATAACGTTTACTATATAACACTAAACGGTAATAACTATTAACATTTAAGCCAATTATAAATAAATCACATTTCATATATATATATAACTTTAAAAAATAATCATTGACAAATTTTAAAAATTTACTAATGATATCTTCATCGTAGACTAAATACTTTCGATTCAATTCTAAAGCGTATTTAAAAAAATTAAAACAACGTAAATACGCTATATCATAAATACAAATTATGGTGATAAAGATTTGTTTTTTTTTTTTTGTCATATAATACAAAAAAAAGTAAACGTTATAACTGTTAAATAAAAAAAAAACAATTTTTTTCTATTTAATTTAATCATCCACTCCACTTATATATATTGCC